CACTACAAGACTACAAAATCTATCCAGTTAGCCAATATCCGCTGGATAATGGAGAAAGGCAGGGAAAGTCAGAAAAACATCTACTTCTGCTTCATTGATTCTAAAGCCTTTGACTGTGTGGATCATAATAAATTGTGGCAAGTTCTTAGGGGATGGGCATCCCAAGCCACCTTGTCTCTCTCCTGAGGAATCTGTACAAGGACCAAGTAGCAACAGTAAGAACTGACCATGGAACAACAGAGTGGTTCAAGATTGGGAAAGGCGTACGGCAAGGCTGCATCCCCTCACCCAACCTTTTTAACTTGTATGCAGAACACATCATGCGATGTGCGGGGCTGATGAATGCAAAGCTGGGGTGAAAATTGCTGGAAGAAACATTAACAACCTCAGATATGCAGATGACACCACTCTGATGGCCGAAAGCGAGGAGGAGCTGAGGAGCCTTCTAATCAAGGTGAAAGAAGAAAGCGCAAAAGCCGGGTTGCAGCTAAACGTCAAAAAAACCAAGATTATGGCAACAAGAATGATTGACAACTGGGAAATAGAAGGAGAAACCGTGGAGGCCGTGACAGACTTTGTATTTCTAGGTGCAAAGATGACTGCAGATGCAGACTGTGGCCAGGAAATCAGAAGACGCTTCCTTCTTGGGAGGAGAGCAATGTCCAGTCTCGATAAAATAGTAAGAGTAGAGACATCAGACTGGCAACCAAGATCCATTGCCTAGTCAAAGCCATGGTATTCCCTGTAGTCACCTACGGATGTGAGAGCTGGACCTTCGGGAAGGCTGAGCGAAGGAAGATCGATGCTTTTGAGCTGTGGTGTTGGAGGAAAGTGCTGAGAGTGCCTTGGACTGCGAGAAGATCCAACCAGTCCATCCTCCAGGAAAGAAAGCCCGGCTGCTCACTGGAGGGAAGGAGACGAGAGGGAAAGCGGAAGTCCTTTGAATGCCACATCATGAGGAGACAGCAAAGCCTAGAGAAGACAATTATGCTGGGGAAAGTGGAAGGCAAAAGGAAGAGGGGCCGACCAAGGGCAAGGTGGATGGATGGCATCCTTGAAGTGACTGGACTGACCTTGAGGGAGCTGGGGGTGGTAACGGCCGACAGGGAGCTCTGGCGTGGGCTGGTCCATGAGGTCACGAAGAGTCGGAGACGACTGAACGAATGAACAACAACAACAACATTAACTAATAATATTACAATATAATATTATTAGTATTTAATTCCATTTTTATTCCATTTATTTATAATACTCTTTGTGTTTAATTATTATAATTATAATTATAATTATTATTATTATTATTATTATTATTATTATTATTATTTATTTATTTATTTACAACATTTCTATGCCGCCCTTCTCACCCAGAAGGGGACTTGGAGCGGCTTACAGGATATATATAGAATAATAATAATAAATTATATTATATTATATTATTAGCATAGTACAATATCAGTATTATATATTACTATATTGTACTACACCATTATATTGTAATATTATTAGTCATAGTATATGTAATATAAAATATATAATTATAATACCATATTATTATAATAAGTATTATATGTATATACTTATATATAATGCCTCTAGACCATGGCCATACAGCCCAAAAAAACCTACAACAACCCACTGTATATACTATATATTACATTATATTGTATTACATTATATTGTATTATATTGTATTATATTGTATTGTATTATATTATATTATATTATATTATATTATATTATATTATATTATATTATATTATATTATATTATATTATATTATATTGGGTTTCAGCTCCCACAGTCCCTAACACCTGGAGGGCCGAGGTTTGCCCATACCTGCCCTACACAGCCCCACATGGTTTCCAGTTTTCTTGGTCAACCCTAGGGACACTGGTTGCTTTTTGAGGCCTCTGGACCATAGAACTACCGCTGTTTGATGCGTGGGATGCTGGGAGTTGTAGCTGTACGTAGTTGATGTTGTACCTGGGTTAGGTATAGATAGATAGATATTATTATTATTATTATTATTATTATTATTATTATTAGATACTTAACAGGATAAGTACAATCACTCTGCTGGCTGTTGCATTGGATCACACGTTGGACGCTTCCCAAGTGCCAAGGACTGTGTGATGTGTCGGCGAATAATGCGTGCAGATCCAAGCATGTGGCCTTTTGCAGCGGGCAGGTGGTAATTTTGTCAGCGCTAATTGTGTTTAAGTGCAGGCCAAGGTCTTGAGGCACTGCACCTAGTGTGCCCATCACCACTGGAACCACCTTGACTGGCTTGTGCCAGAGATAATATCAATTATTATTATTATTATTATTATTATTATTATTTGGTTTGGGATATTTGTGGTGATAATTCATACAATATATACCGTATATACTCAAGTATATATGTTTGCCTGTCAACCTCCCTGGCGCCCTTTCTGTGCTTTTTTCCTTCCAGGATTGTGTGCAGCTGAACCAATACAAACTGAAAACCGAGATCGGAAAGGTACGTTCTCCATTTGATATGATTACTAGCACATATCCCCAATGCCCTCTTCTGCCTTCCTTCCTTCCTTCCTTCTTTCCTTTAATTAATTTAATTAATTAATTAATTAATTATTAATGAAATTAATTTTAATTAATTATTAATTCATTAATTTATATATATTTAATTCATTAATATTTTCTGTTTCTTTATATAAACTGTATTTATTTAACTTGAAGTATTATTTATTTACCATATTTATTATTTATATTATATTATATTTATTATTATGTTATATATAATTTATATATATTTAATTAATTAATATTTTCTATTTCTTTATATATAATGTATTTATTTCACTTGCAGTATTCTTTATTTACCATATATATTATTTATATTATATTTATTATTATATTATATATAATTTATATATATTTAATTAATATTTTCTATTTTTATATATAACATATTTAACTTACAGTAGTTATTTACTGTATTATTATTTATATTATTATATATATATATAATTATTATTATTATATATATATATATATATAATAACAAAAATAATTATTATATTCTTATTATATTGTTGCATGATAGTGGCTAGAGTCCTGTATCATACTGCAAAATAATAGCAATAATAACAATAATAATCATGCAACAATATAATAATAATAGATAAATAATGATAATAATCATTCCTCTATGTTTATTATATCGTTGCATGATATTATTTTCCTACATTTACTTACTTCATTTCTCGTAAAAATAATATTAATTCGTCCAAATCTTTACTCCATTCATTTTCTCATCACCTCTCTCTATCTTTTCACTCCACCAATCACATAATTTCTCTTCATTATACCATTCATTCAATTTGTTTTATTCATTACATCTATTATTCAATACCTCCTACCTTTCCTTCTGTTTCTTCCATTCATTTTTTATACTGATAATTATATTCCTTCATCCCCCTCGATTGCTGGATCCTTCTCTTCTTTCTCCCTTTCCTTTCACTTTGTTTTTCTTCCTTCATCTCTCTTCCCTCCCTCCCTCCTTTCCTTCTTTTTCTTCCCTTCTTTTTTCTCTGCTCATTCTCTTCCTTCATCCCTTCTATTCTGATCCTTTCTCTTTTCTCCCTCCCTCCATTCCTTTCTCTTCTTTCTCCCCTTCTTTTCTCTTTGATCTTTCTTCCTTCATCTCTTCTTCCCTCCCTTCTTTCCTTCTTTTTCTCTCCTCCCTCTCTTCCTCCCTCCCTCCCTTCTTTCCTCTTCCTTTCTCTCTCTTTCCTCCCTCCCTCCATTCCTTTCTCTTCCTTCTCTTCCTTCACCCCTCCCTTCTTAATAATAATACTAATAATATCCCACTGATTCTCTCTTAACAATGTGATGAAAGAAAATATATTCTATTTCAGTGTTTATCAAAAGCCTAAAAGAATGGAGCGCAAGGCTCTTACAAACGCTTGAAATCCTATTGTTAAAGTCTATTCACTTTTTCAAAAGTCAAGGCAAGGCCAGGCTGATGTCCTTGTGTGTCTCCCTAGGGTTCCTATGGCGTGGTCAAGCTGGCCTACAATGAAAACGACGACCAGTATTACGTAAGCACCGGCCCCCCTCTGCATGCATGCCCACCGGGAAGAATCGCATTGGCCTTCTTTGCTGCCATGTTCACTCATGTAATACAATAGCTTATATTAGTAGCATAGCAAAATATCAGTACTGTATATTATTATATGGTACGATACCATTATATTGTAATATTATTAGTGATCTTACATGTAATGTGCATTATATAATTATAATATCATATTATTATTAGTAGTAGTAGTATTGCATTACATAATATTATAAATATTATATGTATTAACCGTATATTATATTATACATTCTGAGCATTGTTTACATGAATCTATTCTTAGACTGCCCTCTTGTGGCTGCGCCTGAGCACTGCATGTATACATCCATAAAGGCCTGGAGCTGATCCTATCTATACATGGATTTATTTATTTACAACATTTATATGCCGCCCTTCTCACCCCGAAGGAAACTCAGAGCGGCTTACAAGATATATATATATACACACAATATATTATATTATTAGCATAGCACAATGTCAGTATTGTATATTATTATATTGTACGATACCATTATGTTGTAATATTATTAGTAATATTACAGGTAATATAAAACATATAATTATAATATCATATTGTTTTATTAGTATTTAATTCCATTTTAATTCCAATTCTTTTTAATACTTTTTGTGTTTAATTATTATTATTAATTTACAACATTTCCACGTTGCCCTTCTCACCCCGAAGGGGACTCAGAGCAACTTACAATATATATATATATATATATATATATATATATATATATATATATATACACACACACACACATACATACAATATATTAAAGTATTAGCATAGTACAATATCAGTATTATATATTACTATATTGTACTATACCATTATATTGTCATATTAATGGTAATATTACATGTAATATGCAATATATAATTATAATATCGTATTATTATTATTTTTACGACCTCTCTATGCCACCCTTCTCACCCCGAAGGGGACTCAGAGCAACATATAAGATATATATATATAGACACACAATATATTATATTATATTATTAGCATAGCACAATATCAGTATTATATATATTACTATATTGTATTATACCATTATTATAATTATATATTGCATATTACATTATAAATATATAATTATAATAATGGTATAATACAATATAGTACTACATAATACTGATACAATTATATATTGTAATACGCAATATATAATTATAATATATTGTTATTGTTAGTATTATTGCATTACATAAAATTATAAATACTATATGTATATACAGTATATTATACATTGCCCCCTTGTGGTTGCATCTGAGCACTGCATGCATACATCCATAAAGGCCTGGAGCTGATCCTTTCTATACATGGATTTATTTATTGACGACATTTCTGTGTCGCCCTTCTCACCCCAAAGAGGACTCAGAGCAACATACAAGATATATATATAAACAATATATTATATTATTAGCATAGCACAATATCAGTATTATATATTGCTATATTGTCCTATACCATTGTACTGTAATATTATTAGTAATATTACATGTAATATACAATATATAATTATAATATTGTATTATTATTGTTAGTATTATTGCATTACATAATATTATAAGTACTATATGTATATTCAATATATTATATTATATTATACATTGCCCCCTTGTGGCTGCATCTGAGCACTACATGTATACATCCATAAAGGCCTGGAGCTGATCCTTTCTATACATGGATTTATTTATTTATGACATTTCTATGCTGCTCTTCTCATCCCGAAGGAAACTCAGAGTGGCTTACAAGATATATATATATATATACACATAATATATTATATTATTAGCATAGCAAAATATCAGTATTGTATATTATTATATTGTACTATACCATTATGTTGTAATATTATTAGTAATATTACATGTAATATACAATATATAATTATAATCTCATGTTATTATTATTATTATTACGACATTTCTATGCCGCCCTTCTCACCCCAAAGAAGGGGTAATATATAATTATAATATCGTATTATTATTATTATTATTAGTAGTATTATTGCATTACATAAAATTATAAATACTATATGTATAAACAGTATATTATATTATGCATTGCCCCCTTGTGGCTGCATCTGAGCACTGCATGCATACATCCATAAAGGCCTGGAGCTGATCCTTTCTATATATGAATGTATGCATTTATTTATTTATTTACATTTATATGCCACCTTTCTCACCTCGAAGGGGACTCAGAGTGGCTTACAAGATATACATACATACAATATATTATGTATTAGCATAGCACAATATCAGTATTGTATATTACTATAGTGCACTATACCATTATATTGTAATATTATTAGTAACATTACATGTAATATACAATATATAATTATAATATTGTATTATGATTAGTATTGCATTGCATAATATTATAAATATTATATGTATATGCAAGTATATTATATTATATATTGCCCTCTTGTGGCTGCCCCTGAGCACTGCATGCCTACATCCCTAGAGGCTAATAGCTAATCCTTTCTAACGCCGTAATGCCCTCTATTACTGGCGTTGGAGGTCCAGCCGCGGACGTGTTGACCCTTCCCTGGCTTTTCTAATGCTGCCCTTCTCCTCCTCCTTCTCTCTCCGCAGGCCATGAAGGTCCTCTCCAAAAAGAAGCTCTTGAAGCAGTATGGATTCCCACGTAGGTTGACTGGGGAAGGGGGCTCTTGCAAAACTATCCCCAAATGTTTACAGTGCAAATCTGCTCCCATCAAAGCACACCCATTATTTGTGGACACTATCCGATCCCTCCCGACAGATGGCCACCCAGCCTTAGTTTTAAAAACCCATATCAGAATCCTAGAGTTGAAAGAGACCCCAAGGGCCACCCAGTCGGGTTTGTAGTAGGGTGGCCATCTGTCTGGAGAGGCTTTGATTGTGTCCTGCTTTATGACAGAAGGGGGTTGGACTGGATGGCCTTTGGGGACTCCTTCTAAATATGATTCTGTGATACGGATTTTCGACAGAGTGTAGATGGCCTTCTGTCAGGAGGGCTTTCATTGTGGCAGATGGAGGTTGGCCTGGATGGCCTTTGGGGGCCCCTTCCAACCCTAGAGTTCCATTAATTGTTGCTCCATTGACCTGGGAAGCAACGGTCCCCATAGATGGCAATGCTGCCCCATATATACCTTGAAGATTGGGTGCCATGGCTATGGCCTTTGGGGAGAGGTTCAGGGATCAGTGTTGGTGCCCTCTTGACCTCTGGCTGTGTCCGCGTGCAGGCCGGCCTCCACCCCGAGGGTCCAAGGGGGCGTCCGGAGGGGCCCCGAAGCCCATGGCCCCCCTGGACCGCATCTACCAGGAAATCGCCATCCTGAAGAAGCTGGACCACGTCAACGTTGTCAAGCTGATTGAGGTGGGTCTCCATCCATCCTTCCATCCATCCATTCATCCATCCATCCTTCCATCCATCCATCCATCCTTCCATCCATCCTTCCTTCCATCCATCCATCCATCCATCCATCCATCCATCCATCCATCCATCCATCCTTCCATCCATTCATCCATCCATCCATCCATCCTTCCATCCATCCATCCTTCCTTCCTTCCTTCCATCCTTCCATCCATCCATCCTTCCATCCATCCATCCATCCATCCTTCCATCCATCCTTCCATCCATCCTTCCCTCCATCCTTCCATCCATCCATCCATCCATCCATCCATCCATCCATCCTTCCTTCCTTCCTTCCTTCCTTCCATCCATCCATCCATCCATCCATCCATCCATCCATCCATCCTTCCTTCCATCCATCCATTCCATCCATCCATCCTTCCATCCTTCCATCCATCCATCCTTCCATCCATCCATCCTTCCTTCCTTCCATCCTTCCATCCATCCATCCTTCCATCCATCCTTCCATCCATCCATCCTTCCTTCCTTCCTTCCTTCCTTCCTTCCATCCATCCTTCCATCCAGCCATCCATCCATCCATCCATCCTTTCATCCATCCATCCATCCTTCATCCATCCATCCATCCTTCCTTCCTTCCTTCCTTCCTTCTTCCATCCATCCTTCCTTCCCTTCTTTCTTCCTTCCTTCCTTCCTTCCCTTCCATCCATCCTTCTTCCCCCTTCCTTCCCTCCAACGGCCCCATCCATCCATCCATCCATCTTCATTCTCCTTCCTTCCTTTTATTCCATCCATCCATCCTTCCTTCTTCCTTCCTTCCTTCCTTCTTCTCCCCTCCACCCACCTTCCTTCCTTCCTTCCTTCCTTCTTCATCCTTCCTTCCTTCCTTCCTTCCTTCCTTCCTTCCTTCCTTCCATCCATCCATCCATCCATCCATCCATCCACCCATCCACCCATCCACCTTAACCTTTTGCTTCCTTGTATTGTGGTTGGATTGAGAAACCTATTTACTCTTTCTTTCTTTTGTTCGTTCGTTCGTTCTTTCTTTCTTTCGTTCTTTCTTTCTTGTCAGGTCCTGGACGACCCTGCAGAAGACAACCTCTACATGGGTAGGTAAAGCACAACAGAACCTCATAATAATAATAATAATAATAATAATAATAATAATAATAATAATAGTGTTGTCGAAGGCCTTCATGGCCAGAATCATTGGGTTGCTGTGAGTTTTCTGGGCTGACTGGCTGTGTTGTAGTAGCACTCTCTACTGACATTTTGCCCACATCTATGACAGGACTCCTCAGAGGTTAATAATAATAATAATAATAATATAATAATAATAATAATAATAATAGTGTTGTCGAAGGCCTTCATGGCCGGAATCATGGGTTGTTGTGAGTTTTCCAGGCAGCCTGGCTGTGATCCAGAAGCATTCTCTCCTGACATTTTGCCCACATCAATGACAGGACTCCTCAGGGGTTAATAATAATAATAATAATAATAATAATAATATAATAATAATAATAATAATAATAATAATAATAATAGTGTTGTCAAAGGCCTTCATGGCCGGAATCATTGGGTTCCTGTGAGTTTTCCGGGCTGCCTGGCTGTGTTCTAGTAGCACTCTCTCCTGACATTTTGCCCACATCTCTGGCAGTCATCCTCAGAGGTTGTGAGGTCTGTTGGAAACTAAACAAGGGATGTTTATATATCTGTGGAATGATGTCCAGGGTGGGAGAAAGACCTCTTGTGGGAATGTTTCAGTTAATCACTTTGATTAGCCTTGCAAAGCCATGCAGCTTCAAGGCCTGGCTGATTCCTGCCGGGGAGGATCCTTTGTTGGGAGGTGTCAGCATTCCTCCTTTCTCCTTCTCTCTCTCTTTTTTTTCTCTTTCCTAGTGTTTGACCTCCTCCGAAAAGGGTAAGTGGGTCCTGTACGCAGCCCGGGATCGCATTGGCCTTTGTCGCCGCCGCATCACACTCTCGGCTCACGTTCTGCTCGAGGTCTTAGTCGATGGTTTTGAAGCAGAGCCTGTATGGCCATCTGTCGGGAGGGATCGGGTGGTGCCTTCCTTTGTGGCAGGGGAAAACGGGGGTTGGCCTGGATGCCCCCCAAATTCTCTATGTTTCCACTCACTTCGAGTTTGCGCTTCTTTCTAGTCCGGTGATGGAAGTGCCGACCGACACGCCGTTCACCGAGGAGCAGGCCCGGCTCTACTTCAGGGACATTGTCTTGGGCATGGAATACCGTGAGTCACACACAAGCAGATCACAAAACCCATTCTCTGATAGGGATTTTTAACAGAGGACGGCTGGACCTCTGTCGGGAGAGATCGGATGGTACCTCTTTGCACAACAAAAGGAGGTGGGACTGGATGGCCTTCAGAGATGCCCTCCAATTCTAGGAATCTAGTGTTATATGATTTTTAAGCAAAGGCTGGATGGCCCTCTGTCAGGAGGGATCAGGATGTGCCTTCCTTTATGGCACAAACTGGGTTGGACTGGATGGCCCCTTGGGGTCCCTCCCGAATCAATAGTAATAATAATAATAAATAATGATGATACTATAATAGTAATTATATCTTCCTACCTGGCAAAAAGATGGCCGCTTGGGGTCCCTTCTGACTCGAGAGTTCAATAATAATAATAATAATAATAATAATAATATTAATAATAATAGATAATGATAATACTATAATAGTAATTATATCTTCCTGCCTGGCAAAAAGAGGTTGGACTGGATGGCCTCTTCGGGTCCCTTTTGACTTGAGAGCTCAATAATAATAATAATAATAATAATAATAATAATAATAGATAATGATAATAATAATGTTAATAGTAATAGTAATAATAATGATAGATAATGATAATACTATAATAGTAATTATATTTTCCTGCCTGGCAAAAAGAGGTTGGACTGGATGGCCTCTTCGGGTCCCTTCTGACTCTAGAACTCAATAATAATAATAATAATAATAATAATAATAATAATAATAATAAATAATGATAATAATATATTAGTAATTATATCTTCCTGCTTGGCAAAAAAGGGTTGGACTAGATGGCCACTTGGGGTCCCTTCCAATTCTAAGATTCTATGATCTGGATTTTTAAGCCGAGGGGAGATGGCCCTCTGTCAGGAGGGATCGGATGGTGTCTCCCTGCCTGGCAGAAATGGAGTTGCATTGCATGCCTCCTTGAGGCCCTTTCCAACTCTAGGACTCAATAATAATAATACAAAATCCAGCATCTACATCTCACTTGCTGTGCCATACTGTGATTTTGTCTCAGAATAATAATAATAATAATAATAATAATAATAATAATAATAATAATAATAATAATAGAGAATAATAGAGAATAATAGAGAATAATAGATAATGAACAATAATAATATGGCAAAAGGGGTTGGACTGGGATCCTGGGATGTGTCATTTGGAGAATTGCTAGTCCTCTTTGGAAGGCCTTTGGGGGTCCCTCCCAAATTTCTCCTTGGTGGCTTTTGGAGGGTGTGCTTGTGTCTTTCTCCCCCCCTGGTGCCCCCCTTTGCAGTGCATTACCAGAAGATCATCCACCGGGACGTCAAGCCCTCCAACCTGCTCCTGGACGACGAGGGCCGCGTCAAGATCGCCGACTTTGGGGTCAGCAACCAGTTTGAGGGCAGCGACGCCCAGCTGTCCAGCACCGCAGGGACCCCCGCCTTCATGGCCCCCGAAGCCATTTCCGACTCCGGGAAGAGCTTCAGCGGGAAGGTAGGGAGGGCGCCTGCAAGCCTGGGCCTTTCTATAACATAATAATACAACACTATAATATAATATAATATATTATCACACTCATATAATATAATGTAATATCAATATAACATAATAATACAACACTAATATAATATAATAATACCACACTCATATAATATAATATAATATAATATAATATAATATAATATAATATAGTATAGTATAGTATAGTATAGTATAATATAATATAATATAATATAATATAGTATAATATAATATAATATCAATATAACATAATAACACAACACTAATATAATATAATACCACACTCATATAATATAATATAATATAATATGTTATCACACTCATATAATATAATGTAATATCAATATAACATAATAATACAACACTAATATAATATAATAATACCACACTCATATAATATAATATAATATAGTATAGTATAGTATAGTATAGTATAATATAATATAATATAATATAATATCAATATAACATAATAACAAAACACTAATATAATACAATATAATACAATATAATATAATAATACCACACTCATATAATATAATATAATATAGTATAATATAATATAATATAATATAATAATACCACACTCCTATAATATAATATAATATCAATATAACATAATAACACAACACTAATATAATATAATACAATATAATATAATATAACCATACTCATATAATATAATATAATGTAATCTCAATATAACATAATAATACCACACTAATATAATATAATATAATATAATATAATATAATATAATATAATATAATATAAATGTAACATAATAATACACTAATATAATATAATATAATATAATATAATAATACAACACTAATATAATACAATAATACCACACTCATATAACATAATATAATATAATAATACCACACTCCTATAATATAATGTAATATCAATATAAGATAATAACACAACACAAATATAATATAATATAATAATATCACACTTATATAATATAATATAATATCAATATAAGATAATAATACACTAATATAATATAATATAATAATACCGCACTTATATAATATAATATAATGTAATATCAATATAAGATAATAATACACTAATATAATATAATAATACCACACTCATATAATATAATATCAATATAATAATACAACACAAATATAATATAGTATTGTATAATATTGTATAATCTATATATAATGTTAGTTTGTGGGATGAACAGAACTCAAAACCCACTGGGGGAATTGACACCCAATTTGGACACAAGACCCCTCTCAGGCCAATGAGTGACCACCACTCATAAAAACACCGAAAAACACAACGGAAGGGACTTAAAAAGCAAAAAAACAAACAAAAAAAACACATTACAATGCATGTGCATAACCACATATATACAGACACAAAACACATATACACAGACTGGGCCACAGCAACACGTGGCAGGGGGTGGCTAGTATAATATAATATACCAGACACATATATGTAATGTAATATAATACAGTATAATATCACATATTAATGTGTGGCATATATTATATTATATTGTATTATCATATTAGTGTGGTATTATTATATTATACGTTGTATGTTATATTATGTGTAGTATATTATATATGTGAATAGATAATATACCTCACGTGTATATATTATAATATATAATGTATTGCACACATATAATATATAGTATAATAACGTCGTACATATATGTTATGATATAATATAATATAATATATACACCACACATAATGTAATATAATGCCACACATATATATATATTGCTTTTTGTTTTTCAGGCTCTGGATGTCTGGGCCATGGGCATCACCCTCTTTTGCTTCGTCTACGGAAAGGTGAGGTGCATATGCAAATGAGCCCATTAGTATGCACTATTAATATGTTTAATGGTAAACAATACCCCTGGCACCCCTTTGGCTGTCTTTGCAGTGTCCTTTCATTGACGAATTCATCCTGGCCCTTCACAACAAGATCAAGAACAAGCCCGTGGAATTCCCGGAAGAGTGAGTTCTTTTCCCAAAGAGACGGGTTGGCCATCTCTCGGGAGGGCTTGGGTTGTGTCTTCCTGGGGTTGGACTGGGTGGCCCTCCGGGTCTCTTCCCACTCTAGGATTCTGGACCCAAATGCTTCCTCTCTTTCCCCTCCCTTTTTCTTCCTTCCTTTCTTCTTTCCTTCATTTACTTTTCCTACTTTTCCTACTTTTCCTTTTCTCTTTCTTTCTTCCCTTCTCCTCCTCTGCCATTCTTCTACCCTTTTCCTCCCACTTTCCCTTCTTTTCTCTCTCCCCTTCTTTCTTTCCTTCTTTCGTCTTTTCTTTTCTCCCCTCATTCATTCCCTTTCTTTTCTTTTCCTTTCCTTTCCTTCCTTCCCTTCATTTTCTTTCTTCCCTCTCTTTTTTATCCCTTTCTCCTTTTTTCTGTTTCCACATACAACCCTTCCTTCTTTTCGTTTCTTTTTCTTCCCTCTTTTCTTTCTCCCCCTTCCTTCCTTCCTTCCTTCTTCCTTCCTTCCTTCCTTCCTTCCTTCCTTCCTTCCTCCCTCCCTTTCCTTTCTTTCTTTTCTCCCTCCCTCCTTCCTCTCTCTTTTCTTCTTCCTTCCTTTCTTCTTTCTCCCTTCCTTCCTTCCTTCCTTCTTCCTTCCTTCCTCTTTCCTTCTCTTCTTCTTTCCTTTCTCTCCTCCCTCCATCTCTCCTTTTCCCCTTCCTTTTACTTTTCTTTCTCTCTTCTTCTTTCCTTCCTTCTCTTTCCTCCTTCTTCCTCTTCTTTCTTTTCTTTCTCCTCCATCCTCCTTCACTCCCTCCCTCCTTCATCTCTTCCTTCCTTCCTTTCTTTCTTCCCTTCCTCCCTTTGTGTCTTCTTTTCTCCTTCCTTCTTTTCTTCCTCCCCTCTCTTCCTCCAAACTTCATTTCTTCTTTTCTTTCTCTCCTCCCTCCCTCCATCTCTCACTCTGTCTCTCCTTTTCTCTTTCTTTCTTTCTTTCTTTCTTTCTTTCTTTCTTTCTTTTTCCTCCTTCCTTTCTTCCTTCTTTCCTTTTTCTTTTTAACTTCCTTCCTTCCTTCACTTTTTCTCTTCCTTCCTTCCCTTCCTCCCTCTGTGTCTTCTTTTCTCCTTCCTTCTTTCCTTTCTCCCCTCTCTTCCTTCCTTCTTCTTTTCTCTCTCTCTTCCTCTTTCTTTCTCTCCCTCTATCTCTCCTTTTCTCCTCTTCTTTCCTTCCTTCTTCTTTTTCCTTTTCTTTCTCTCTTCCTCTTTATTTCTCTCCCTCTTTCTCTCCTTTATTTCTTCCTTCCTTCCTTCCTTCCTTCCTTCCTTCCTTCCTTCCTTTCTCCCTTCCTTTATTCTCTTCTTTCTTCCCTCCATATCTTCCTCCCTCCCTCCCTCCTTCCTTCCAGGCCTTGGATCAGCCCAGAACTCAAGGACCTGATTCTGAAGATGTTGGAGAAAAACCCTGAGACACGCATTACCATCCCCGACATCAAGGTGAGTGAGCGAGCGAGTGAGGGAGCAAGTGAGTGAGGGAGCGAGCGAGGGAGTGAGGGAGCAAGCGAGGGAGTGAGTGAGCAAGTGAGAGAGTGAGTGAGAGAGTGAGTGAGTGAGGGAGCAAGCAAGTGAGCGAGTGAGCGAGTGAGTGAGTGAGTGAGTGAGGGGGGAAACAACCTTTGGGGGGTCTTTCTCCAACAAAGGGGGCGGGGGGGATTTTTCAACCACTTGAATGGGAAGAAATAACGACAAAAGTGGGGGAACCTGGGAACGTTCTCATTGTAAACGTGTCTCTGACCCTTGGTGCCCCCCCCCCCCGCTCCTTTCCAGGGGCACCCGTGGGTGACCAAGTTTGGGGAGGACCCCCTCCCGCTGGAGGAAGAGCACTGCAGCATCGTGGAAGTCACCGAGGAAGAAGTCCAGAACTCCGTCAAGACCATCCCCAGTCTGCCCGCCGTGGTAGGACATCTGCCGGGAGGGCTTCGCGGACTCTTTGCCTTCCTTTCCTTTCTTTTCCCTTCCCTCTTATTCCTCCCTTCCCCCTTCCTTCCTTTCTTTCCTCCATCCCATCCTTTTCCTTCCCTTCCTTTCTTTCTTTTTTCCCCTTCCCTCCTTCCTTTCTTCTTTCCTTTCTCCCCTCTTTTCTCTTCTTCATTTTTTCTTTTTCCTTCCTTCCTTCCTTCCTTCTTTCTCCCCTTTCCTTCCTTCCTTTTTTTCTTCCCCCTCTTTCCCTCCTCAATTCCTTATTTTTTCCTTCCTTCTTTGCTTTTTCTTCCCTATGTCCCTACCTCCTTCCTTTCTTTTTTCTTTCTCCCCTTCTTTCTTTCCTTCCTTCCTTCTTTCCTTTCTCCCTTTCTTCCTTCCTCCCCTCATTCTTCTTATTTTTCCTTCCTTCCTTTGTTTCTCTTCTGTTTAGATTAGTGTTAGTGAATTAATCCGTCATACAAACAAATCATGGAGTGACCTGGAGGGCCAGGGAAAAACATGATATTATTCTTTCTTTCTTCCTCTTTTTTTTTTTCCTAACTCTTGTTTAGTGGTGTTTATGACCAAACTAATCTTAGCAAGGTGGTTAGTTAAATTTGTTGGTTAGTTATACATACAAGATTTACTATATTGTTATTATTATTATTATTATTCTTTGTTTATACCCTTCTAGCCATTCAAGAATGTGGTCTTTCTGACTTCCTTCTTTGCTTCCTTCCAGATCCTGGTGAAGGCTATGCTGCGGAAGCGCTCCTTTGGGAACCCCTTTGAAGGCCCAGGCCAGGAGGGAGGAGAGGTCCATGTCGGCCCCGGGAGACCTCCTCATGTATGTCATGCCTTGGGGGGGCTTCCTTGCATTTTGATATCACCCTATTATTATTATTATTATTATTATTATTATTATTATTATTATTATTATTATTGGTTTATTATTATTGGTTTAATCTTTATTTACTATATTGCAGTTACTTTGTTACATCAGCTTTTCTGTTATCTGGACATACCCTTCCACACCCCCCACACCCCAAATATCATAAACATATACACATCATATAAGGAAGATAATATTTTTATTGGTACACTTCCATATAGACCCCAGTTTCCATCCTACCCTTCCTTCCTTCCTTCCTTCCTTCCTTCCTCTCCCTCCCTCCCTCCCTCCCTCCCTCCCTCCCTCCCTCCCTCTCTCTCCCTTCCTCTATTCCTTATTTCCCTTCTTTTTTCTCCTTCTTTCCTTTCTCCCTTCTTCAGTGCAGAAGAGAGCCATGCCATCAAACTTTCTTTCTTTTTTTCCTTCCTCCCCCCTTTCCCTCAGCTCTCCTCTCTCTCTTCTCCTTCTTCTCCTCTTCTTTTCTCTTCCTCTTCTTTTCTTCCTCCCTCCTCCCTCCCTCCCTCCCTTATCTCCTTCTTCCTTCTCCTTCCTTCCTTCCCTTCTCTCTCTCTCCTTCCTTCTCTCTTCCTTTCTCCTTCTTTTTCCTTCTTCCTTCCTTCTTCCTTCCTTCCTTCCTCCCTCCCTCCCCTCCCTTTCCTCCCCTCCCTCTTGACCTTATTCCTATTCTTTCTCCTTCCTTCCTTTCCCCTTCTTTTTCTTTCTATCTTTCCTTCTTTCCATCCTTCCCTCCCTCATACACATTCTCCTTCTCTCCTTTCTCTCTCCTTCCTTCCTCTTCTCTTCCCTTCTCTTTCTTTCCTTCCCACATACTCCTCCCTCTCTCCTTTCTCCTTCCTTATTTTCTTTCTCTTTTTCTTTCTCTCCCTTTTCCTTCCTCCCTCCTTCCCTCCTCTGATCTTTCCTCCCTCTTCTTCCTTCCTCTTCCTTCTTTTTCTTTCCTTCCTTCCTCCCATTTCCTCCTATACCTTCTCCCTCTCTCCTTCTCTTTCCTCTTCCTTTCCTCATACACCTTCCTCTCTCCTTCTCTTTCCTTCCTTTCCCTTCTTTTTCTTCCTTCCTTCTTCCTTCCCTTTCCTCCTCAGACACTGTCACCCCTTCTTTCTTTCTTTTCTCTTTCTTTCTTTCTTTCTTTCTTTCTTCTTTCTTTCTCCCTTTTCCTTCCGTCATACAACTTCTTCCTCTCTCCTTTCTTTTTCCTTCCTTCTTTTCCCCTTCTTTTTCTTTCTTTCTTTCCTTCCTCCCTTTCCTCTTATACCTTCTCCCTCTCTCCTTTCTCTTTGCTTCTTTTTCTTTCCTTCCTTTCCTCATACACCTTCCTTCTCCTTTCTCCTTCCTTCCTTTTCCCCTCTTTTTCTTTCCTTCCTTCCTCCTCCCTTTCCTCTCACACAGTCACCCAGTTCTTTCTTTCTTTCTTTCTTTCTTTCCTTTCCTCTCTTCCCTCCTATACCTTCTCCCTCTCCTTTCTCTTTCCTTTTTTCTGTTTCCCTTCCTTTTCTTTCCTTCCTTCCTTCCTTCCTCCCTTTCCTCTCACACACAGTCACCCACTTCTCTCTTTCTTTTCTTTCCTCTCTTCCCTCATACACCTTCTCCCTCTCTCCCTTCTCCTTCCTTCCTTTCCCCTTCCTTTTCTTTCCTTCCTTCCTTCCTCCCTTTCCTCTCACACACAGTCACCCACTTCTCTCTTTCTTTTCTTTCCTCTCTTCCCTCATACACCTTCTCCCTCTCTCCCTTCTCCTTCCTTCCTTTCCCCTTCCTTTTCTTTCTTTCTTTCCTTCCTTCCTTCCTCCTTCCCTCCCTTTCCCCTCACACAAAGGGTCACTCCCTGGGGTCCCCCCCCCCCTGCATGCCTGCCTGCCTGCCAACGTTCTCTTTCTTTTTCCCCCTCGTTCTTTTGTTTTCTCCCTCCGCTCGGTTTCCAGGCACGGCTTCCGCTTAAGCCCGTCCGTATACTTGCACCCGTCTTTAAGGTAACTTGGTGTCTGCTCCTCGTGGGTGGAGTGTCCCTGCCTCTTGTGATGTGCACTAGGTAGAGCGCGCACCGCTCACTCGTCTGCCTAGAAGAGAGCCGTGCTTCCGGCTTGTGATCGTGGTGCTTCGTCTTCATTTGCCTTTCCGTGGACAAAGGAGAAAGTGGGCCAGGCTTATTTGAGTCTGAGGGAGCCTCCTTCTCCAGAGTCTGGGTGGCCATCTGTTGGGAGGGATCGGATGGTGTCCTTCTGCATGACAGAGTCGGTTTGGGCTGGATGTCCCTCGGGGTCACTTCCAACTCTAGGGCTCTATGATACAGATTGTTCACAGAATCTGTATGAGCATCTGTCCAGAAGGATTGAATGGTGTCCCTTGGGGTCCCTTCCAACTTTAGGGTTCTGTGATATAGATGGTTAGCAGAGTCTGAAAGGCCATCTGTCAAGAGGGATCAGATGGTGTCTCCCTTTAGGGCACAAATGGGGTCGGACTGGATGGCCCTTGGATTCTATATCATTATTATTATATTATTATTATTATTATTATTATTTATTATATTATTCTATATTATTATTATTATTAATATTATACTAGTATTATCCTTGAAGGAGCTGGGGGTGGTGACGACCAAAAGGGAGCTCTGGTGTGGGCTGGTCCGTGAGATCACGAAGAGTCAGAAACGACTGAAGAAATGAACAACAATAATAATAATAATTATTATCATTATTATTATTATTATGAGGTTGGATGGGCATATGTCGAGAAGGGGTTGGACTGGATAGCCCTTGGGTTCTATATTATTATTATTATTATTATTATTATTATTATGAGGTTGGATGGCCATATGTCAGGAAGGATCAGATGGTGTCTCCCTTTAGGCTAGAAATGGGGTTGGATTGGATGGCCCTTGGATTCTATATTATTATTATTATGAGGCTGGATGACCATCTGTCCAAAAGGATCAGATAGTGTCTCCCTTTAGGGCAGAAATGGGGTCGAACTGGATGGCCCTTTGGTTCTATATTATTATTATTGTTATTCTATATTATTATGTTATATTATTATCCTTGAAGGAGTTGGGGGTGGTGACGGCCGACAGGGAGCTCTGTCCATGGGCTGGTCCATGAGATCATGAAGAGTCAGAAACATCTGAACGAATAAACAACAACAACAATTATTATTATTATTATTATTATTATTATTATTATTATTATTATTATTATGAGGCTGGGTGGCCATCTGTTGGGAAGGATCAGATGGTGCCTCCCTTTAGGCCAGAGATGGGGTTGGACTGGATGGCCCTTGGGGTCCCTTCCAGTTAGGATTTTATGATTGCATTACTATTATTATTATTATTATTATTATTATTATTATTATTATTATTATGAAAAGGCTGGCTGGCCATCTGTGGGGAGGGTTTTCTTCCTCCCCTGACTGTCCTCCTCCTTCTTCTCCTTCTCTGGGGGTTTTGTGCAGAAAGCAAGGCAGCCGTGAAGCCGCGAAGGACCCGGAGCTGCCGGACGTGGAGGAGGACGAGGGCAGTCCCTGAGGCCGCCCAGGACTGACCGCCATTGTTGTTGTCGTCATCGCTGCTGCTGCTGCTGCTGCTCCCATCACCCTGCCCACCCATCATCCCCCTCCCTGGTGTGGTCAACCAAAGTTTGTGAAAGAAGAACGAGGGAAGGAAGGAAGAGAGGGAGAAGAGACGTCTCTCCTCCGCCTGCTTTTGAGGCCTCAATGGAGCCTTGGCGGGCGCATGTGAGTCCAAACGTGCCTCATTTCCTGCTTGTGTGTCACATCATGTTGACATCCCTCCATCAAGAAGACTTGGGTCCGGCAGAGCGATGGATTCGAGCTGCAAGATCTCTCACGAAGGCTGGGTGACTGTCTGCCGGGAGGGATCGAATGGTGTGGCTTTCCAACCAGATGGTCCTTGGTTCAATCCGAAGCTGAGCCCCGCCTGCAGTGTGATGTGGCGGCGAAAAGAGCCAAGGCGATGGATCCCAGGCTGCATCAACAGGAGATCTCTTTTGATTCAATGGGAATGCAGACCTTGGGAGACTACAGCTCCCATCATCCCCTGCCTTGGATCCCAGCATATCGGAGGGCACCCGTCTTCACTTGTGTACGTTGATGGTCAAGCTGATGACGTTTCTGGATGGGAGCCTTGGCCTACGACCCTTGAGACCAGGGTTCGAGTAACAAGCATATCTGTCTGTGTGTGTGTGTGTGTGTATATAGGCATAGCTCTGTATGCATATGTATGGCAGGGGTCCTACGTGAAACATATTGGGCTACGACTCTTGAGACCAGGATTTGAGGAATAAGTGTGTGTATGTGTGTGTGTGTGTCTATATATATATATATATACACACATATGTGTCTATATATATACACACACACACACACATATATATATAGGCATATCTCTATATACTTACATATTACACTACACGACTCTTAAGACCAGAGTTCAAAAAACAAGTTATATATGTGTGTGTGTGTGTGTATATATATACACACATATACATATATAGGCACCCCCCTCTCTCTCTCTATATATATATATGTATGGATATACCATATGTATGGCAGGAGTTGTACATGGGACACACATTGGGCTATGACTCTGGAGACCAGGGTTTGAGGAATAAGTGTGTGTGTGTGTATGCATGTGTGTGTGTGTGTGTGTGTATATATATACACACACATACATACACACACACATATATACATATACATATATAGGCGTATCTCTATATACTTACATATTAGGCTACACAACTCTTGAGACCAGGGTTCAAAGTGTATTTATGTGTGTGTGTATACACACATATACATATATAGGCATCTCTCTCTCTCTTTATATATATATATAAAGAGAGAGATGCCGATATATGTATATGTGTGTATACACACACACATAAATACACTTTGAACTATATATAAGTGTGTGTGTGTATGGGGGACACATTGGGCTATGACTCTTGAGACTAGGGTTTGAGGAACAGGTATATATATGTATATGTATAGGCATATATGTATGCATGTATAGATTGATATAGAGATATAAATATATAGATATATGTGTGTGTATGTATATGTATAGGCACATATATATGTATGTATAGGCATATATATATATAYAYATAYACACACACACACACAGATACAAATATATAGATATATATATGTATAGGCATGCATATATGTGTGTGTATAGGCATATATATAGAGATATGTGTAGACATGCATATATATATATATATATATATATATATAYAYAYATATATACACACACACACACACACACACACACACACATGGCAGGGGTCCCACTTGGGACACATTGCAATGAGGTCATAGTTACACTCTGGATCCATGCACCCTATATATAGATATATTTTCCCCGCGTGGTCAGCCTGCGCATGACCACGCGCATGAATATACCAAATGTGTGAATTCACAGGCAACCACTCGGGAAACTATGTTTACAGGGAAGCAACCTATATATATATATAGAGAGAGAGAGAGAGAGAGTATAAATATGTATATGTATAGGCATATATATATATATATATAGACATATATATATATGTATGTATGTATCTTAGGGGTCCTATATGGGACACATTGCGATGAATCATAGTCCCACCCACCCACCCACCCACCCACACATATATATATGAGGTTATATATATGAGGAGCGTAGGGGTCCAATATGGGGCACATGGCAATGAATGATGGTCCCACTCTGGACCCAAGCCAAACAAGAGGGTGTGATGCCACAGCAGCAAAGGCCAATCAGTGCGCTCCTAGGCTGCCTTCCCTTGGAGCCTGGTGTCCAGGTGGAGGGAAGTCCTCACGGCGGGGTGTCAGGATGGAAAATCTCCAGTGGGAATGGTCCCAAATGGTCCAAGGCCTGGGGAACTATGAATCCCTCTGAGGATGGGCTGAACATGAAGAAGGGGGATTGTCTTTGGACGTCATCTCGTCAATCCATTCCATCGCCTGCCCAGACCGATCTGCGATGTCTTTTTTGAGCATGTCCCCCTGCAACGTTTGTCTCGTTTCGGTGCACGTATTTTGACTCTTTGGATCCGAAAAGCCCCCCACGCCCACTTGTTGACATCTCTCACAAACCGGTGTGACGAGTGGGTCTCAAAAGGGAGGGATCGATACATTCCAGGGCGTTAATCGGTTGGGGAGCGGCGTCTCAGCTCGGTTTGCCTTGGCAAACACGCGACTTCTCTTTCCCGGTCCTCATTCCCATCTCCATGCTACCTCAAGGGCGAGTTCCCCTTCCCCTCCGTCGCTCACGCTGTGTCCGTACGCTGTGTGTCCTCGCTGGGGTGCCGTTCATATCACACGCCTTTCTGCATGGCCAACAATGGCAACATTCACCGGCACGACAACAACACATTAGTTAAAGACAGGCGAAAGCCCGGGACCCGATGGGGACACGCATTCCAAAGGCAGGAAACGAATCTCCTGAATGGCGAGAGCAGTTATGTTTCCTGCAAATGCCGTGGAGGCTGCGTGGCCCTCTGTCAGAAGGGCTTTAACTGGGTCTCTATGCCTTTGCGGATCCCATGATTGAATATAGATGGCTTGGGAGCCTGGAGGGGTTGCTGTTTTGTCAAAAGATGGCCATCAGTCAGGAGAGATCAGATGGTGTCATTCTGTATAGCACAACGGGGTTGACCTGATGGCCCTTGGGGTCCCTTCCAACTCTTTAAGATTCTATGTCTATTTTTTGCAGAATCTGGATGGCCATCTATTGGGGGGGCTTTGATTGTGTCTTCTTACCTAGCAGGAGGGTTAGACCAGATGGCCCTTGGGGTTCCTTCTAACCCTAGGGTTTGTATTTTTAAGAGTCTGGCTGGCCATCTATTGGGAGGGCTTTGATTGTGTCTTCTTACCTAGCAGACAGGTTGGACCAGATGGCCCTTGGGGTCCCTTCGAACTCTATAGGATTCTATGATTTGTATTTTTAAGAGTCTGGCTGGCCATCTGTTGGGATTGATTAGATAAGTCTCCTTCATGCATAGAAGGGGGTGGGCTGGATGGCCCTTGGGTGCCCCTTTTGACTCCGCTCTTGCATGGCTCCATAAGATGTAGTCCTTGCATTGGCCTCATTGCCAAGTAGGCCTGCAAAGCCCCCTCCACGTGTGGTCCACGTGTGCCACAATCGTTCTATTGCCGAACCACAGTTACGGTTCTCATTGCGCCGGCAGTCCCGATACATTGGTAAACAACTCTTTCTCGTCCGCAGCCCTGTTCCGCATGCAACATAGGGACATGGGATCTGGGTCATGTATGCAACGCACACTTTCCGCACCCCTTTAACGGCGTGGCTGTCGGGATTTGCGGCTTTTGCCGATTCCACGTGCTCCCTTTGGTGTTGTTAACCGTGCCTTATTATTATATTTTCATTGAGGCCCCTTCCGAAGGCCGACCATGTTGTTGTCTGTTCTCTATGTTGCCGCTTTGAACCCTCCTGTTCTCGGTGCGCATGTCGCAAGTGTGTTTGGTGCGCAGAAAACACAACCCTCTATATGTTTATATATATGTATGTGCGTGTGTATATAGCCACCTGGTAGCGCATGAGGCAATGTATGCAGCTGTCTTTCCGGGGGCGAAACGCTGTAAATATGTACCATGGACAGAAATCCTATTTTGGGGAGTTTTCCGTTCTTTTTTTGCATGTTTTTGTACTAATCTGGAGGAACCAAAGGGCCGAAGAGAAGGACACGCCAAGTCTTGGCAGACAAATAAAAGCGCGGGGAAAAATACATGTGTTGCAATTGTTTTTATTCCAACATCATTTCCCTTTCCTTCTTGGCGTGTACAAAATGAGACCTCCCCGCAATAAACTCAGTCCTGAACACATCTGAAAACGGGTCGGTCGGGTCCACAGAACGGCCAAGGATGTGTTCTCCAACCAGGACGTGCCTTCAAAGCCCCAACCGTGACTCCCAGGCCCCAGCTTCCTTCCTTCCTTGGGGGTGGGGGTGGTCTACTGGCACTTGACGAAGCGCTTGAGCTCTTCCAGGAAGCGGATGTATTCCTGGTGCTCCAGCGCCGTGCTGAGGTCCACCAGCTCGTCCGCAAAGGTGTTGTCCACCCCTCGGTCAGCCAAGAAGTCCATCAGGTGGTCATACAGCGCCTGCGGAAAGAACGCACACGCCACCTGACTCCTTTGTGACTCCTCCTCTCCTCACTCTGCGCCACTTGGGACTCCAACTTCCAGAATCCCCGGCAGCAGACAAGCTGGAAATCAGGGCGTCTGGGAGTTGAAGTGCAAAACAGCCAGAGGGCTTGATCTTGCAGGAATCCCTGGCACGAGAGAGTAGGAGTCGCAATTCCCAGGCCCTTTGGAATATCCCTTTATTGAGACACAAAAAAGGGGATTTCCTGGAATACTGTGGTTTTAGCCATGTGTCGGCTTTTAACGGGTTTTATTTTTAATACTCTTTGTGTTTTATTTTTAATTACATTTATTTTTAATACTCATTGTGTTTAATTCTATTTCTTTTTAATACTTTGTGTTTAATTACATTTATTTTTAATATTTTTGTGTTATTATTATTATTATTATTGTTATTTATTTACATTTCTATACCGTTCTTCTCACCCCAAAGGGAACTCAGAACAGCTTACTATATATATATATATATATATATATATACACACACACACACACACACACACACACACACACCAATATATTATTAGCATAGTACAATATCAGTATTATATATTACTTTATTGTACTATACCATTATATTGTCATATTATTAGTAATATTACATGAAATATAAATATACTTTATGATATCACATTATTATTTAATTCCATTTGTTTTTAATATTTTTGTGTTTAACTATTATTATATTTATTTTTAATATTTTTGTGTTTTTATTATTATTATTTGTGACATTTATATGCCGCTCTTCTCACCCCGAAGGGGACTCATAGATATATATATATAAGAGATATATATATATACACACATACACAATATTTTATATTATTGGCATAGTGCAATATCAGTATTCTATATTACTTTATTGTACCATTTCATTATATTGTAATATTATTAGTAATATTACATGTAATATAAAACATTTATTTCCATTTTAATTCCATTTCTTTGTATTTAATTATTATTATTATTTATTTACAACATTTCTATGCCGCTCTTCTCACCCCAAAGGGAACTCAGAGCGGCTTACAAGATACTGTACTATGCTAATAATATAATAATAATAATAATATATTGTATATATATTATATTATTAGCATAGTGCAATATCAGTATTCTATATTACTTTATTGTACTATACCATTATGTTGTCATATTATTAGTAATATGATATGTAATATAAAACATAATTATAATATATTATTTTATTAGTATTTAATTCCATTTTAATTCCATTTCTTTTTAATACTCTTTGTGTTTAATAATAACCTATTTTTAGGTTTTTGCATGGACAGACATGCAAAGAAGGCTGTCTTGGGGGGCTGCAAGGGCCAGGCCGCCCTTACCCAGTCCAGTGAATCCGTGTTGAGGGTGTAGCTGTTCTCCCGCCATTCCGACTCTCCGCTGGGCTGGAAGCTGACCTCCCGGATGGAGAAGATGTCGCTCTCCTCCTCCGCCTCTCCGTGGCCGACCTACGAGGGATACACACACAAGTCAACCCAACCTCTGCATTGGTTCAAGGGACAGGGCATTATTATTATTAGTATTATTATTTACAGCATTTATATTCCGCCCTACTCACCCCGCAGGGTGAGATCACAATGCACATATACATGGCAAACATTCAATGTATGATGTATATTGAGTATGTACATATAATATTTATATTATTATAATGTAATGCTATATAATATTACCAATAATAATATTATATATTTATATTACATGTAAGATTACTAATAATATTACTGTATATTGGCATAGTACAATACAGTAATATTTAATACTGATTCTGTACTATGCTAATAATATAATATAATAATAACAATATAATAATATAATATATTGTGTGTGCATGTATGTGTGTGTGTGTATATATATCTATATATCTCTCTCTCTTGTAAGCCGCTCTGAGTCCCCTTTGGGGTGAGAAGGGAGGCATATATTATAATATGTTAATATTATAATGTAATACAATATACTACTACTAATAATAAAATGATATATATATATATACACACACACATGCACACACACACATGTAATATTACTAATAATATTACTGTATATTGGCATAATACAATACAGTAATATTTAATACTGATACAGTACTATGCTAATAATATAATATAAATATAATACTATAATGTATGTATGTATATATATATATATATATCTTGTAAGCAGCTGAGAGTCCCCTTTGGGGTGAGAAGGACGGCATATATTAGATGTTAACGTTATAATGTAATACAATATACTACTGCTACTAATAAAATGATTAGTAAATAAATGTGGCAGATGGAGGTTGGACTGGATGGCCTTTGGGGGCCCCTTCCAACTAGGCTTCTATGATATGGATTTTGAACAGAGTGTAGATGGCTGTATTTATTTGTTTGTTTACGACATTTCTATGCCGCCCTCGGACTCGGAGCAGCATACAAGATTTATATATATATATATATACATACAATATATTATATTATTAGCATAGTACATCAGTATTAAATATTGCTAAATATTATACTATGCTATTACATTGTAAAATTAATAGTGATATCACATGTAATATAAATTATATAATTATAATAATGTTGTAGTAGTAGTATATTGTATTACATTATAATATTAAAATTTGTTTGTAAGTTGGAACAGGGTGTTACTCCAGCCAAATATTTTATTTATTTATTTTATTTACGACATTTAGATGCTGCCCTTCTCACCCTGAAGGTGACTCAGAGCGGCGTACAAGAGATATATATACACACATACATACATACATACAAATATTATTAGCATAGTACAACATCAGTATTAAATATTACTATATTGTACTATACCATTATATTGTAATATTATTAGTGATATTACATGTAATATAAACTAAATAATTATGATAATTTATTATTAGTAGTAGTATATTGTATTACATCATAATATTATATTATTAGCATATACATTATATTATATTATTAGCAAAGCACAGGAGACGAGACGGATAGACCTTCAGGGGCGACCCCCTTTCCTTCCCCACTCACCTCGTCCTCAGGGTAGTGGCAGTCCAGCACCAGGGTCTGCTTGGTGTCGTCTTTGGTGACTTCCACAACAAAGTTCGGGGTCGACGTGAGCTCCGGCTGCAGGAAAAAAACAGACTTCTTTTTAGCCATCTTGATCACAGCCTTCCCTTTGGGAGAACCAATATTCAAGGCAGTCTGGAGGAGTCTTTGTGAACAGAGTCTGGATGGCCCTCTATCGGGAGGGTTTGGGTTGCATCTTCCCGCCTGGCAGAAAGGGGATGGGCTAGATGCCCTTTGGGGGCATCTCCCAACTCTAGGATTCAACTGCCATTCTGTAAGCTGCTGGTAATACTGGAGAGGTTTGGGGAGAATTCACCTTGATTCACAGCCATTGTAAGTACTGGGATTTATAGTTCACCTGCAATCAAAGGGAACTCTGGACCCCACCAACGATGGACCTGGGCCTAACTTCGCGCACAAAACCCCCATGACCACAAAAAAAAATGTAGGAGGGACTTGGGGGGGATTCATCTTGATTTTTAGGATTTATAGTTCACCAACATCCAGAGAGCACTGTGAACACAATAATGGATCCGCACCAAATTCAGCATGCATACCCCATATGCCAAAATTTGAATATTAGTGAGTTTGGGGGGGGGAGGGGGATTGGCCTTGACATCTGTTAGTTGTACATACTGGGATTTATAGTTCACTTGCGATCAAAGTGCACCCTGGACCCCATCATTGATTGAACTGCGCCTAACTTGGCATACAGAATCTCCATGATGAAAGAAGGATTTGACAGGACTCCCTCACCACAGTGGGAGTTATAGTTCACCCACAGCCAAAGAGCACACTGAACCCCACTGAGGATGCCTCTAGAGCAAATTTGCCCAACATGACAAACTAAATATTGATTGAGTTTCAAGGAGTTAACCTGGCATGATGGGAGTTGTAGTTCACCCACAACCTTAGGCATTTGGGACAATTAAAAAGTGGCTTCTTCTAATAGCCCGGTCAGTGCTGGGGACCCAAGCAAGTCCCTCACTTACTTCTTGCTCGTCCGGCTTCTGTCCTTCCGGAGCCTCGTCAAAACTCGGCGGGATGCTGTTGTTGATGTTGAAGGACACCGTGACCCTGTGGATGGAACCAGGAGGAGGAGGAGCCCAAGGTGAGCAAACCCGGGAGAGATATACTGGGAGGGGTGGGAGACCCCCACCTGACCCCACCCAGGAGGAGGAGGAGGCGCTTACGTCTCGCCAGCCACTTTCCGCGCCAGCTTGGCCTCGGTGCCTTGGACGTCCAGCTCCCAGCCGCCGGACATTTTGGGCAGGGACTTGTGCTTCTGGATCTTCTTCTCCTCCTTGATTTCATCCACCAGGAACTCCGCAAAAGCTTTGTCGCCTGCCAAGAACACACAGGTGAGAGCTATCCACCTAATCTATGGACCTATCTATGTATTTATTATTTATTTACAACACTGATATGCCGCCCGCCCTTCTCACCCTGACTCAGGGGACTCAGAGCGGCTTACAAGATATATATATACACACACACACACACACACACACACACACCGTATATTATAATAATAGTAATAATAATAACACTTTATTTATACCCCACTACCATCTCCCCAAAGGGGACTTGGGGCAGCTTACATGAGGCTGAGCCCAGAAATGACATAGTAGTAGTAGTAGTAGTAGTAGTAATAATAACAATAACAACAAAGCTGACCATGAAGCAGAAGTAGCCAAACCATCTGCAGAAACAATGGGCAAGCCATATAATAATAATAATAATAATAATAATCTTTCTTTATACCCCACTACCATCTTCCCAAAGGGGACTCGGGGCAGCTTACATGAGGCTGAGCCCAGAAATGACATAATAATAATAATAATAATAATAATAATAATAATAATAATAATATTATTATTATTTATACCCCGTCACCATCTCCCCAAAGGGGACTCGGGGCAGCTTACATGAGGCTGAGCCCAGAAATAACATAATAATAATAATAATAATAATAATAATAATTATTATTATTATTTCTAGCTAGCATACATCGCTTGGATCTGTCAGTTGACAATTTATGGACATAATAATAATAATAATAATAATAATAATAATAATAATAATAACTTTATTTATACCCGCCACCATCTCCCCAAGGGGACTTGGAGCGGCTTACATGAGGCCAAGCCCAACAACACATAAATAAAAACAACAAGCAATAAGCAAATAAAACAATACAATTAATTAAGACAATATAGACAATAACTCGCAGAGATTTAAAAACCTATCAGTATTATATATTATCATCTCTCTATGTATCTATCTAATCTATCTGTAGCTATCTATCTATGCAACTACGTATCTAATGTATGCATCTGCCTATCTATCTGTATTTATCCCTCTATGCAACTATGTATGCAAGTTTGTATCTGATCTATGCGTCAGTTTATCTAATCTAGCTGTATCTTTGTAGCTATGCAACTATGTAAGTAGGTTTGTATCTATTCGATGTCTGTATTTATCTGTCTATCTACTGCAGGGGTCCTCAAACTAAGGCCCGAGGGCCGGATGCGGCCCTCCAAGGTCATTTATTCTGCCCGCGCTCAGGGTCAACCTAAATTGATGCAACAACTTGAAAGCGCAGACAACAACAACAACCCTATTTCATCAGCCAAAAGCAGGCCCAGACTTCCCATTGAAACACAAATCTATATATATATAAATGCTCTGTGCATAATGAGTACCTTAAAAACAAAAGAACCAATGAAAGAAATCACACCAAATTTGGCAACAAAACGTCTCACAACACAAGGAGTGACCATCACTCAAAAAATTATGATTTTGTCAATTTGGAGTTGTAGTTGCTGCGATTTATAGTTCACCTATAATCAAAGAGTATTCTGAACTCCATCAACGATGGAATTGAACCAAACTTGGCACAAAGAACTCCCAACTAAAAGGGTTTGGTGGGCATTGACCTTGAGTTTTGGAATTGTAGTTCACCTCCATCCAGAGAACACTGTGGACTCAAACAATGATGGATCTGGACCAAACTTGACAGGAATACTCATATGCCCAAATGTGAACACAGATGGAGTTTGGGGAAATAGACCTTGACATTTGGGAGTTGTAGTTACTGGGATTTATAGTTCACCTACAATCAAGGAGCATTCTGAACCCCACAAACGACAGAATTGGGGCAAACTTCCCACATAACCCCCATGACCAACAAAAAATACTGTGTTTTCTGATGGTCTTTTCTGCCCCCCCCCCCCCCCCCGGTGACCCCTGGGGTCTTGACTTTCCAGATTGAGAAATGCTGCCTTAAGGCCATCCAGTCCAACTCCCTTCCCCAGGGCAAGAAAACTTAATCAAAGCCCTCCTGACAAAGGGCCATCCAGCCATTTGCACACACACATTTATACGTAGATATAGTATCATAGATTTGAAAGGGACCCTTAGAGAAGGACAATGATATGTTGCATGTTCCAGGGTGGGCAAACCAGACACTCTCCACATCAACACTGACAAACAGCAAGAAATACTGTTTACTCACAAGCAGAAAGAAATGACATCTATTAGAAACCAACACTTTCTCATTACTCTATTTGCCAGATCAATAGACTGGGCCACAGCAATGCCTGGCAGGGGACAGCTAGTGTATATATAATATTAAAATGATCCTCCTATAGTAGTAATAATATTATAATGTAATATATATATATATATAAGTAAATATTTATATTATTTTTATTATTCTCTTCCTAGGCACAGAGATCCTATTCCCAGAGAGAATGCATTCAAAACCCTATTTTCAGAGAATATTTTTATTTTATTATTATTATTATTATTATTATTTGTAGTGTCAGGAGCGACTTGAGAAACTGCAAGTCGCTTCTGGTGTGAGAGAATGGGCCGTCTGCAAGGAGGGATGCCAAGCGCGTGGCGAGATGAATGGAGGCGGCTCACCTTCAGTGTGGAGGCCCGCGCATGCGCAGGGGGCGGAGGGCAAGCTCCTGAGGCCTCCCCCTCCTCCTCGGCGAGGCCTGCGCTCCTGGAGTTGCCACAGCGAGCGGGTGAAGGGCCGGGCGGCGGGGAGCAGCCGAGGAGCGAGGCTGGAGGCGCCCGGCCGCGCCTGGAAAGGCCGAAGCGCCGCGGAAGCCGAAGAGCGCAGGACCCGAGCGAGCAGCATGGCCGCCTGAGGAGAGGAGAACGCGCACCGGAAGCGGCAGCACCAGCAAAGCCGGAAGAGGCGGGGAAAAACACATCCCCGCTAGTGCGCACGCGCATCAGAGGTTCCCACCCCTTTCCCTTTCCAGCGCGTTGCCTTCCCGCCCTCACTGCGCACGCGCCGGAGAGAGATAAAAGAGAGGTTCCCGCTAGTGCGCACACGCATGAAAGGGGCCCGCCCCTTTTCCATTCCGGCGCCGTGCCTTCCCGCCCTCACTGCGCACGCGCAGGAGAGAAAAAAAGGGAGCTCCCCGCTAGTGCGCACGCGCATCAAAGGGGCCCGCCCCTTTCCCTTTCCCTTTGCGGCGCTTTGCCTTCTCGCCCTCACTGCGCACGCGCCGGAGAGATAAAGGGAGCTCCCCGCTAGTGCGCATGCGCATAAAATGTACCCGCCCCTTTCTCTTTGCGGCGTGTTGCCTTCCCGCCCTCACTGCGCACGCGCCGGAGAGATAAAAGAGAGCTCCCCGCTAGTGCGCATGCGCATAAAATGTGCCCGCCGCTTTCCCATTCCCGGCGCCGTGCCTTCCCGCCCTCACTGCGCACGCGCAGGAGAGAAAAAAGGGAGCTCCCCCGCTAGTGCGCACGCGCATCAAAGGGGCCCGCCCCTTTCCCTTTCCCTTTGCGGCGCTTTGCCTTCTCGCCCTCACTGCGCACGCGCCGGAGAGATAAAAGAGAGCTCCCCGCTAGTGCGCATGCGCATAAAATGTGCCCGCCGCTTTCCCATTCCCGGCGCGTTGCCTTGCCGCCCTCACTGCGCACGCGCTGGAGAGATAAAAGAGAGCTCCCCCGCTAGTGCGCACGCGCATCAAAGGGGCCCGCCCCTTTCCCATCCCGGCGTCTTGCCTTCCAGCCCTCACTGCGCATGCGTTTGAGAGAAAAAAAGGGGCGGATACTTTCTCCCTTCCCCGCCCCCTCACACGTCTGTCTTCGCTCTCAGCGCTCGTCGATTGGTCGGCCGCGGAATCCTTTCCCCGCCCCATCCGTTTCCGGAGTGTGGCGCCTGCGCAGTGTGAGATTCTCACGCAGAGGCGGCGAAGGCGGCCGCCATTACGCGTCCCTCACCTGAGAGGAAAAGAGAGAAGAAGGAAAGAAGGGAGGAGAGAAGGGAAGAAACGAGGCCGGAAGGTTAGTCATCATCCCGAATTTTATTCCCCGCTATAATTGGGCTTATTTGCATATGCATAATGAGATACTTTGGAAAGGAAGAAGGGAGAAATAGGTTTCTGATTTACGCCAAGCGGGACTAGGCCCAAAACCTGGCGCATTTGCATACTGTTTGCTGATTGGCTACTCTTCCTCCTTCCCGCGTCTGATTGGCCAAGGCCTTGCTCCTTGGCCTAGGCTGGAAATTGAAGCCTTCTGCACACACGCCACTAATTACTCCTGTGCTTATTATTATTAATTAATTAATTAACTATAAATTAACACAAGAGTAATTAGTGAAGACACACAGAGTATGTGCAGAAGACTTCAATTCAACTGGAAATTGAAGTCTTCTGCACACACTCCACTAATTACTCCTGTGCTTATTATTAATTAATTAATTTACAATAAATTAAAACAGGAGTAATTAGTGAAGACACACAGAGTGTGTGCCGAAGACTTCAATTTCCATTCTAGGCAAAGGACTCCTGTCTTATTATTAATATTAATATTAATAATAATTAATGATAATAGTTTTATTTCTTACCTGCCCCTCCCCATTATTTATTTATATTTGTATCCTGCTTTATCTCTCCATATGGCTCGCCAATTACTCCTGTGTTTATTATTATTAATTAATTAATTACAATAAATTAACACAGGAGTAATTAGTGAAGACACACAGAGCGTGTGCAGAAGACTTCAATTTCCTGTCTAGGCCAAGGATTCCTGTCTTATTAATAATATTAATTAATATTAATAATAATTAATGATAATAATTTTATTTCTTACCTGCCTCTCCCCATTATTTATTTATATTTGTATCCTCTTTATCTCTCCTTGGACTAGGCTGGAAATTTGAAGCCTTATTCACACTCTCTGTGTGTCTTCACTAATTACTCCTATGTTTATTATTAGTGATAATAATTATGAATAATAATAATGATAATAATTTTATTCCTTACCTGTCCTCCCCTTTATTTATTTATTTATGTTTGTATCCCACTTTATCTCCATATTAATACTCAAGGCAGCTCACAATAAAAATATTACAACTTCAGATATTCAATAATAAAACAGTAATGTATAGTCTCGTATAGACTACTGCAACGCTCTCTACGCGGGATTGCTTCTGAAGACTGCTCGGAAGCTTCAAATGGTCCAACGCTCGGCAGCCAGGATGCTAACAGGAGTGGCACTCAGGAAGCATACAACTCCTCTGTTGCGCCAGCTCCACTGGCTGCCAGTTTGCTACCGGGCACAATTCAAAGTGCTGGCTTTAGCCTTTAAAGCCCTAAACGGTTCTGGCCCGACCTATCTGTCCGAACGCATCTCCTCCTATGAACCAGTTAGGACATTAAGATCGTCTGGGGAGGCCCTGCTCTTGGTCCCGCTGGCTTCACAAGCACGCCTGGCGGGGACGAGAGACAGGGCCTTCTCAGTGGTGACCCCTCGGCTGGAACGCCCTTTCTGCAGATATTAGATCGGTCCCCTCCTTACTGGCATTCCGGAAGAGAGTGAAGACCTGGCTCTTCGAACAGGCTTTTAACTAATCAGTGCAATTGATTGATTACTGGAATATGGATTAATGGACAGCGGGATTGGATGCTGATTCTATTGACGAGACGTGATGGATTGTTGTTTTGCTGTGTTGTTGTATTGATGTTTTGATGTTAACTAATTGATATTACTATTTTAAATGATTAATGATTTTGTACTGTGTTGTTGATACTGGTTGATAACCGCTCTGAGTCGCCTGATGGCTGAGAAGAGCGGTATACAAGCGAAGTAAATAAATAAATAAATGTATTAGCTGGGGGTGGTGACAGCCGACAGGGAGCTCTGGCGTGGGCTGGTCCATGAGGTCACGAAGAGTCAGAGATGACTGAACGAATGAACAACAACATGTATATATGTATATTATATATTAACAATAATATGTTTAATATATTATCATTATGGTGGATTATTGTATATTGTTATATTGTATAATCTATAGAAATAAAAATATAATGTTCGTTTGTGGAATTAACATAACTCAAAAACCACTGGACAAATTGACACCAAATTTGGACACAAGACACCTAACAGCCCAATGTATGTCCTTCACTAAAAAAAATGGATTTTGTCATTTGGGAGTTGTAGTTGCTGGGATTTATAGTTCACCTTACAATCAAAGAGCATTCTGAACCCCACCAACGATGGAATTGAACCAAAACTTGGCACACAGTTCTCCCATGACCAACAGAAAATACTGGAGAGGTTTGGTGGGCAGCGTCCTTTGGTTTTGGAGTTGTAGTTCACCTACATCCAGAGAGCACTGTGGACTCAAACAAGGATGGATCTGGACCAAACTGGCCATGAATACTCAGTATGCCCAAATGTGAACACTGGTGGAGTTTGGGGAAAATAGAACCTTGACATTTGGGAGTTGTAGTTGCTGGGATTTGTAGTTCACCTACAGTCAGAGAACATTCTGAACCCCACCAACGAATTGGGCCAAACATCCCACATAGAACCCCCATGACCGCCAGAGTGGGCCACAGCAACTCGTGGCAGGGAACGGCTAGTTATATAAATAAAAATGTAACGATTTATTCTGGGATTGGCATAACTCAAAAACCACTGGACAAATTGACACCAAATTTGGACACAAGACACCTCTCAGGCCAACGAGTGACCATCTCTCATTGAAAAACAAAACAGAAAAGACTTAAAAAGCTGAAAAACAAAAAAAATACATTACAAAGCATGTGCAAAACCACATATACACACAAACACACACACATATATACACAAATACATATGCTGACACATACACACACACAAAACACATATACACAGGCTAGACCACAGCAATGTGTGGCAAGGGATGGCTAGTATATTATAGATAGGCAAATGCATATTATATAATACATGTAATATGACATTATAGTGGTATAGTACATTATGATAATATACAATAGTAATGTTGTATTATGCTAATAGTATAATATATTAATAACATGTTTGTTTCTCTTCCCTTAGGCCTGACCTGCGGCCATGGCAACTGGCGTGTTCCCTCCCTTCCGGGGCCCTTGCCCTCCGATGCCGGCCCCTATGGCCCCGCTGCCAGACTACATGTCCGAGGAGAAGCTCCAGGAGAAAGGTATATTATTTTCATTCTCTTATATCACTGTGTTACTTGACATATCCATGCTGATCTGTCAAATTGTTCCGTCATATGTTATTTAATCAGATTTAAGAGTTTTTTACTGCTTATTATAATACCGTTCGCATTTAATTATATTTTAATATTTGTATATTTTAGGTGGTTTTAAATTGTATGCATTGGTTTTACAGTAAGTCTTTTTTTAGAGAAAAATAGCAAGATCTAAATAATAATAATAATAATAATAATAATAGTTTATTTGTTTACCTTATTGAATTCTATTTTAATGTTTGTGTATTTTGGGCCTTAAATTGTATTGGCCTAAATGTAAGATACTCCCTGACCAAACTTTGCATAAAATGACCTCAGAAGCACTTTATTTTATGGTTCGTGCAATTAAATCTTTCCCTGTCCCCGGATCCTCCTCCCGATAATTTATATTGTCCTATCTCCCAGCGTTTAACAAATTTATCATTGAGTTCGGCTTTGCCCAGCCCAATCCTCTGTGTTTTAATGTTTGATTTGCTTTTGTTGTTTATTATATTGGTTTTGCATTTGATGTATTTTATTTCTAGTTTTTTTATGCTTTTGTGTTATATTATTATACTATATTTTTGGGCAAGGCCTCATGTAAGCCGCACCGAGTTCCCCTGGGAGAGATGGAGCGGGGTATAAATAAATTATTATTATTATTATT